CAAGCAATTATATATCTTGGGAGGGAATTCTAATTGGTCAATAAAAATTAATTTCAATGAAAGTTTCTTTTTTTTTTTTATAAGTTTAGTCACTTTATTATAAAAGATAAGGGAGGATAGGGGAATTTTGTGTTCCGCATCCGCTAAATATAAGCTTTCTTCTTCCATATGGAAAAAAGGAATAAAGAAATCAATCAAGATTCGGGCGGCTTCATGAAGTGCTTCTTTTGGTGTTAAACTCCCATTTGTCCATATTTCCAAAAAAAGTATCTCTTGTTTTTCATTCCCATAAGAATGAATACTATGATTCGCATTTTGAACCGGCATGAATAGAGCATCTATAGGATAAATTCCATCGTCAAAGTGAAGGTCCGCTTTGTTGAAATATCCGCGATTTCTCTCTATTTTTAATCCAATAAAAAAATCAATAGGTTCTGTCAACCAAGCTATATGTTGTGTGTTATCAACGATTTGTACATGAGGGGGTAATATTATATCTTGGGCAGTTACATGTCGAGGTCCCTTGATACAAATAGACGCATCACAAGTTCCATATTGATTGCTCCTCAATACAATTTCTTTCAAATTCATTAAAATCTCATGTATCGATTCTTGAATCCCGCCTATGGTAGAATACTCATGCGAGGCTTTCTCAGATTTTACACGTGTGATACATGTCCCTTCTATTTCTCCCAGTAAAGCTCTTCGCATCGCAATTCCTATTGTATCGGCTTGACCTTTTATAAGTGGAGATAGGATAAAGCGGCCATAAAAAAGGCGTTTACTGTCTATTCTTGATTCAACACATTTCCACTGTAGTGTCCGAGTAGATACTGCTACTTTCTCTCGAACCATAAAAATTTTGATTTAGTATATTAGTGAATCTTCTATTTCTCTTGATATAGGTTCACTTTTGATTTCTACACACGTCGTTTTTTGGGGGGTCTACAGCCATTGTGTGGCATAGGGGTTATATCCCTTATAAAAGTTAATAGTAGACCGCTTCTATGAATAGCTCGTAATGCTGCATCTCTTCCGAGACCGGGACCTTTTTATAAATACTTCAGCTCGTAGCATACCTCGATTCATTACTTTACGAAGAGCATTTATTACCGCGGTTTGAGCAGCAAAAGGTGTTCCTCTTCTGGTTCCTTTGAATCCAGAAGTACCGGCAGAGGACCAAGAAACTACCCGTCCCTGTACATCTGTAATAGTCACTATGGTATTATGGAAACTGGCTTGAACATGAATTACTCCTTTTGGTATTCTACGTGCATTCTGACGTGAACCACTACGTCCGCCCTTTCTACGCGAACTAATTTTCGATATATATTTTACCATTAAGCATTTTTTAAATCTGAGTCAGCGATACACTATATGGATATATCCATTTCACAATTCTTTCATTTATAGAATTGGTTTAGTTACTAAGTTAAGTTGCGAAGTCTTATTATCCCTGTCGTTGTTTTATGTCTGGGATTGGAACATATTACTATAAGTCGTCCCCTTCTCCGTATTAATCGACATCTGTCACAAATTTTACGAACAGAAGCTCTTATTTTCATATAAAGACTCCTTACATTTCTTTTAAATTTACTTTAGAGTTTCGGTTTTATTGGAAGATTCTAATAAATACATTCATTTTTTTCTATTTTAAATTTATAATTTTGTTATTCTTGCTAAATGAATAGCTAAGTTGAGAAACGACTCCTTTGAATCATTGTTGTGTTGCAAAAGATTCATCGACTTGTTCTGAAGTAAACTAAAAAAGGATTTAGCCTATTTTCACAAACAGAACTTAAAAAAAAAAAAAGAAAGTGATTTTTGTTCTTTATTGTGATCTTTAAAATATTACCATATATAACACAAAATTTCCCCCCCGATTCTTTGCAGTCGGGCTTCTCGGTCTGTCATTATACCACGTGAAGTAGAAAGAATTACAACCCCCATCCCGCCTAAAATTTTAGGTATTTTTTTAGACGTAGAATACATTCGTAGACCGGGTCGACTTATCCGTTTTAAATTTAGAATATTGCTAAAGGTCCTTTTTTTAGTCTTGATATGTTGCAGAGTTAAAACTAAAAAATTCTTGTTGTTTTCTCGATGTTTTCTCACACTTTCAATAAAACCTTCTTTTAAAAGGAGTTTTACAATCTTTTCGTTAATATTACTGGATGGGATTCGAACCATTCTTTTTCGATCCATATCAGCATTCCGTATAGAAGTTATTATCTCAGCAATAGTGTCCCTACCCATGATAAACTCTAATTATGGGACTCAAAAATTTTATATTCTCAACGTGTTTTTTTTATTGTCTATGGATTATTGTGTTTATCTTACTTTAATTTTAATCTTAAAATTATATACGTGAGACAGATTCTACTCCATTTTTTTTTTTGAATTTTTTTTATAATACCTCAGGAGCTAATGAAACTATTTTAGTAAAATTTAATTGTCTCAACTCCGGGGGATTGGACCAAAAATTCTGGTCCCTTTTGGATTTCCTTCTTTATCAATAACAACTGCGGCATTATCATCATATCGTATTATTATCCCGTTGCCGCGTTTTAGTTCTTTACAGGTACGCACGATTACGGCTCTAACGACTTCAGATCTTTGTAGAGGCATATTAGGTACAGCTTCTTTGATAACAGCAACAATAATGTCACCAATATAAGCATATCGACGATTGCTAGCTCCTATTATTCGAATACACATCAATTTTCGAGCCCCGCTGTTATCTGCTACATTTAAAAGGGTTTGGGATTGAATCATAGCATTTTTTTTTATTCTTTTCTTTCACAATGCAAAGGGCGAAGAAAAAAAGAAATATTTTTTGTCCACAAACATAAAACGAAACTTATTTTTTTGTTTTTGTTTCATTCTTAAGATTCTTTGGGGTAGTTTTAGAGTGATATTTTCTATTCTATCTCCGAATAATGAATTGAGTTCGTATCGGCATTTCGATGCTGCTATTGAAATAGCTTTTCTGGCAATATTTTTTGTTACTCCACCCATTTCAAAAAGGATCCGACCGGGTTTAACAACAGCAACCCAATATTCAGGGGATCCTTTTCCTGAACCCATACGTGTTTCTGCGGGTCGTACAGTAACTGGTTTATCAGGAAATATACGTACCCATATTTTTCCTCCACGACGTGCATTTCGTGTCATTGCCCGTCGGCCGGCTTCTATTTGTCTAGATGTGATCCAAGCGGGTTCAAGTGCTTGAAGCGCATATTTACCGAAACAGATATGATTACCTCGAGAAGCTATTCCCTTCATTCTTCCTCTATGTTGTTTACGGAATCTGGTTCTTTTGGGGTTATAGTTGATGGATTTTTATTTATTACATCTCTACTACAGAACCGGACGTGAGAGTTTCTTCTCATCCAGCTCCTCGCGAATTACGAATAAAGGATTTACAAAATGAGCTTTTGACTAAAATTGATTAATCATAGTGAAGATATCTAAATCTTCAATCTAAAGATAGATACTAAGATAAATACTACAAATCTAAATATAGATAATAAGATCTATAATAATAATATGGACTGAGAAGTCCAAATAATATTTAGGAATTGAGTGATATTTTTTTTCAATCTATTTGAAATAAAATGACTTATTCTACACTTTTTTCATGATTCTCTGAGTCTAACTAATCCTTCCTTTTTGACTATTCTTGAATATTGTCTTTATATTGCTTTTTGATTCTTTTGCAAAAAGTTTTCGCGGGCGAATATTGACTCTGTCAATTTAGATTTCATTTCTAGGACGAGCCTGTTACATCTTCTAGCTACTATCTAGAAATCAAATAATTTAACATTGGTTTATTTCGCCATCCCAGCCAGTGAATATTTAAGATTTTTTTTATTTAATCTTAAATTGAATCTTTTTTATTCATAAGTTCCGTCGTCCCCATCACTTCTTACTTAATGGTTAGGTCCTAATTTTACAATGGAGCTCAAATAGTAATATATGAATAATTTGAGTCTTGAGCCATTTTTCTTAGTCTTTATTGGCTTTAAGCTCTTTACTTTAAATTTATCTAATAATTATCTATTCTATAATTTAATTTCTATAATAAGAGTATATTGTTTTTTTATTATTGAATATTCTTAGATTTTTTATTCTATTTCAAATACTTGAATATGCAGAATTTAAGTATTAATGCTTCATTACATTGCCTATTTTGTTAGACCCTACATATTGGAATTTTCAATCATTGAGCTTATTTTTCTTCCTTTCTCTCTCCCTTCCAATTATCTACATCTTTTTTATATCTTGCTTGGCAACTTCAATAATATTTGAATAATTTTTGTTTATGCAAATAAATGGCAATTGCTACAACGATATGAGCGCTAATCATATCATGACTGGTTATTTAGATCCAGATAATGCGAAATTGATGAGTTAGTTATTAGGTAATTTCTTCTCGAGTGAGTAGTTGTTACTTTGGGTTTGGTTTCATGCTAACCTTAAAAAATGAACGAGTCGCACACTAAGCATAGCAATGATATTTTTATTAAAAAATAAATAAAATTTTTATTCAACCTTATAGAATTCATTATTATCAATTAGAAATCAATTAGAACTGTTCCTGCTCATTACACAAAATAATTTGTGAAATGGGCCGCTTGGTATTACAGGTAAAAAGAATGAATAAAATTTTATTGAGCTTCATCAAAAAATATCCAAATTTTTATGCCTAAAACCCCGTAGATAGTTCGAACTGAATAACAACAATAATCCATTTTAGCTTGAATAGTTTGTCGGGGAACTCTTCCTTCTCTTATCCATTCCACACGTGCAATTTCCTTTCCGTCAAGGCGTCCCGCAATTTGTACTTGAATTCCTTTTGTATCTGCTTGTTCAGCTAATTCAATAGCTTTTTTCATTGCTTTTCGAAAGGAAACTCTATTCTTTAATTGTCCAGCTATAAATTCGGCAAGAATATTAGGATTTCCATACGGTTTTTCAATTTTTGTGATAGCAATATTCAGTTTTCGGTTTACAAAATTTAATTTTTTTTGTAGAGCTTTTGTAATTCTTCAACTCCCTGTGGGCTATTTTCCATAAATATTTTTGGAAATCCCATATATATTATGACTTGGATTAGATCGAGTCTTTTTTTAATATATATACTTGCAATTCCCTCGGTAGCCGAGGGTTTGATTCTATTTTTTTGTACATAATTTTTGATAAAAGCTCTTATCTTTTGATCTTCTTGCAGATTTTCAGCATACGTTTTTGGTTTTGAAAACCAAAGTGAATAATGGCCTGGTTTGTACCAAGTCTGAACCAAGTGGATTTATTTTTTGTCCCATAAATACCTCCTATTCTGGATATCAGAATATGCTTTAGTTCTAGAATTTTTTTTCGCTTGTGGTTTTTTTAGCAAACCGAGCTCCACAGATTCAGAATCATTGAATGAAATATCTTTTAGTACAATACTGATATGGCAGGTCGGTCTTTTTATTGGATAACTACGCCCACGAGCCCGAGGTTTTAATTTTTTTCGAGCAGTCCCCTCATTCACTTCAGCTTTACTAATAACTAAATTTGCTTTATTTGCAGCCATAGTGTAACTAGCATTTGATGCGGCTGAATAAACCAATTTTAAAATTTGATAACTGGCACGATAGGGCATGAGTTCTAATATAATAAGTGTTTCCTCATAGGAACGCCCACGAATTTGATAAATAACTCTTCTTGCTTTATTAGCCGACATAGCTATACGTCGACCTAAAACGTATACTTCTGGGGTTTTTTTATTTAGCATCTGGTACATAAAGTTTGCCTCCTACTAATGACTCATAAGCATCAAGATATTTTTTAGTATTCACATTACCGATGAGATCTATTATCATTTTTTGCATGTCCTCGAAAATTTAAAGTAGTTGCAAATTCTCCCAATTTGTGTCCGACCATATGATCCATTATATAAATAGGGAGATGCTCTTTCCCATTATGAATCGCAATAGTATGACCAATCATTATTGGAATAATAGTAGATCCCCGGGACCAAGTTATTATTATTTCTTTTTCTCCCTTTATGTTAAGTTTCTCAATTTTTTTTAATAAATTCTGAGATACAAAGGGATTTTTTTTTAGTGAACGTGCCACAGTTTACTCCTATAAATTTTATTATTCTTTTATTTTTTTATTTTTCATATAATTGAATGAAGAAATTTAATTTGCTCTATTCTATTAATTTTGATACTATAATATATTATATTAACTGCGATGACGAAGAATGAGCTTCTCACTATATTTATTCCTCTTTCTAGTTTTCTTCCAAGTGCGGGATAACCCCAAGGGGTTGTAGGTTTTTTTCTCCCAATAGGGGCTCTACCCTCACCGCCCCCATGTGGATGGTCTACGGGGTTCATAGCTACTCCTCTAACTACAGGACGCTTACCTAGCCATCGTTTAGCTCCAGCTCTACCCAAATTTTTTTGGTTGAACCCAACATTTCCGACTTGTCCGATTGTTGCGGAGCAATTTTGGGATATAAAACGGACCTCGCCAGAAGGTAATTTTAATGTGGCTGATTTACCCTCTTTTGCAATCAGTTTCGCCATTGCACCCGCTGCTCGAGCTAATTGTCCACCCCTTCCACGTGTGATTTCTAGGTTATGTATAGTCGTGCCTAAGGGGATTCGGTCAAAGGTAGGGTATTTCCAATTTTGATTGAAACATCTGTACCAGAAACAATCGTATCTCCAATTTGAGCCCCTCTCGGATGTAAAATATACTTCTTCTCACCAGTCCGATAATGTATTAGACAAATGTTTGCATTTCTATTAGGGTCATATTCTATGGTTATGATTCTACCATATAGGTCTTTTTCATTCCGTCGAAAGTCTATTTTACGGTATAGGCGCTTATGACCCCCCCCCCTATGCCTTGATGTAATGATTCCTCTAGCATTACGACCTTTACCACAATGATGCTTTCCAGAGAGCAAATTTTTCCTTCGAGCAAATTTTGGGCTGTTTACGGTTTCGCTCGGGTTATCAGTTTTGTATAATTTTATTCCCATGATATTAATGATTTTTATTTTGGATTGAAAGTTTATTTGTTTGGAGGCATACGTCTAATTCTCTGCGGTAGCCATTGCATTATATGTCCTCTAATAGGGAGGGCCTACCATTATGTGACCCTTTGCCAGAAGCGTAGCACTACTCAAAGTTTATGACGTGGACATAAAAAAACTATTTATTATTTTTTAATATTTTAATAACTAAATCCGTTTTTCTGTAAATACTATATCTTTTATTCCATCCCGAATTTGAGTATTAGTTTAAGTTGAAACTAGTTAGTTCGAGTAAAGAATGTTTTTGTGAATAAGTGTTCCTATATTAAGTGTTCCTATATATATATATAGATATATATATATATCTAATATAGATATATATTCTCTATATGTATTGGTATCCTAGAATTATCTATTATGATATATGAAAATGATATATGAAATGGAAATAGTCAAAATAAAATCTATCTAGGAACATATATCTTATATGATATTTGATTGATTTGATATGGACAAATTTATCTAGGAGCATATATATCTTATATGATATTTGATATGGATTATGAAGGAAATGCTCAAAGTAGATCTATGTTAATATATATCATATAGCCTAAAATATCACAAAAAGAAGAATTGGAGGGTCAATAATATTTTGTTTTGTGTAAATGACTAATAATGTGCATCCAGTAGGAATTGAACCTACGACTTCGCCAATTATGAGTTGGGCGCTTTAACCACTTAGCTATGGATGCTTAAACGAGACCATCATCTATCAAAATTGAAATTAAAATAGAATAATTATGGCAATTTTTAATCTTGGAATATTTAATTACATTGAATTACAGCAAAAAATGTCGTTTAGATAAAGAATTTATGAAATCTGAAATACTAACAAAAACTAGATTTCTTTTATCTTCTATATTTCTTTTATCTTCTATATTTAATATTTAATTATATAATATTATATTTATATATAATAATAATATGATATAATAGATATACAATATAGAATACAATAATAAAAGTATTAATACTTTTTAATACTTTATACAAAATTTTAGGGAGGTATGAAATGAATCCTAAGCCAGAAAAGTTCTGGATTTTCGAGTTACGAGAGATACTGAGAGAGATTAAAAAATCAAAATATTTTTTAGATTCATGGACCCAATTGAATGCAATCGGATTTTCAATTCATATTTTAGTCTCCCAAGAACGATTTTTAAACTGTTTGACCCACAAATTTGGAGTCTTATACTTTCACCTAATTTGCAAGGTTCAAAAAGAAATAGATCAATCAAGATTAAGGGAGTTTTACTAGTTTTCGTTGGCGTTGTTATATTTATATATCGTATTAGCAATCAAAATATGGTTGAAAGAAAGAATCTCTATTTAAAAAGACTTTTTCCTATACCGATGAATTGCAGTGAATCCATAACTGATCAAGATAGTGGTTATTCTACTCTAAATCGATTAAGTATTTTACTCCTTTCTTTTCCAAAGGCAAAAATCAAGTTGATATTGATTTAATGAATCCAAACTATAATACTCGGGTTTTACCAATAAAAAAAAACCCTAACATGCCTCAATCAAAGTCAGATTCGCCGCAGGGGAAAAACTTTATTAGAGAAATTATTAGACGAACTAGAACGGAATTTAGAGAAATTCCAATGAAACTTCTTGGTTTCAATCTGGTATTCTTAAAAGAGAAAAAATCGCTTGAGTTTCCTTATAATTCCACAAGATCTAGTTCCTTACAAGTAAAAGATTTCGGCCAACCGAAAGGATCCTTGGATAGAAATTTTTTGGATTCTATTAGAAATGAGGATTCGGAATATTCTAAATTAATCAATCAAAGAGAAATTAAACAACGAAAACAAAGATCAACTTCTTGGGATCCTTACCTTTTTAAAACGGAACAAAAAGAGATCAAAGGCCGTAAACCAACGCTAAGCCTTCCGTTTCCGAAAGAAAGGGAACAATCTCGGGGCAATGCCCCGAGGTCCCTTTCTTCATTTTACTCTGATAGATGGTCAGAACTTTATATGGGATCAACTCCTATTGCTAAGTCCACTATGGATCCGAAATTTAGGAATAAATCTCTTTCTTTTGTCCGGCAAGCGGAAAAAAAAGAAATAGTTAATCTATTTAGAATACTTATGTATTTAAAAAGAACTGTTTTTAATTAAGTCTATTTCTTTTGATCCCCAAATAAAAAATTCGAAGAATACTGGATTTCTTAAAAAAACTCCATTATTTTATTTTGTTAACCGATTTCTTGAAAGTAAACAAGGAAGCTATGTGCTACAACATGATTGGAAATCAAAAGAAAAATTACAAAAAGTCCAGGTTTATTTATTCTGACAATAAGCGAGCCGGATCCAGTCTATAATAAGGGCTTTACTTTTTTTGTGAATATAGATTCATATGGATTGCATAAAATCAAATTATTGAATCAAATATTAAATACTAGGACTGACTCGAAAAATCAATCTTTGTTGGTTCTTTCGCCTATTTTTTTTCGTTATAAGGAGAAGAACTATTTTTTTTCAACGAACGGGACAAAACTACGTCTGGATTGAAGCAGTGAATCAATGTATATCTATATTGATTCACAATCTGATTCAAATGCAATCTAATACCTATGTGTACATAAGAAATCTATTGAATCAATTTGTTTTCATAAATATATCCAATTGCAATTTCAAATATCGAATTAGGAGAATTCAAGGGGATCAAAAAGAAATGGGTCTTCTCAATCATCTAACTCATATGACATTTAAAATAAAAACGGGTCAACCATATAAATCCAAATGGTCAAATGGGACAAAGAGTTTACAAGAAAATTCAAAACATTTTCTTGATGAGCAGAAAAGACTTTTTAAAATGTATGTTCAAGTCCGAAAGGGCTATTTGCAAATGATGTTTGAGAAAGTTTATCAATTCTCTATTTATATTATTGATAAAATAACTGAGAAATGGATTTATTGGTCTAAGGTTCGCAGGGAAGTAGAAATCAAAGTAAAAAAAAATGTGTATAAGTTAATTCCTTTAGTTTTTACCAAGTTGTCGAAATCAGTACGTTTCTTCTTTTTGCCCCAGTCACTTCGTTTTTTTTTTACGAAGGGATTTCACTGTATGATCAAGTTGCTTTTGTTTTTGTCTAATTCACTTGGTTTTTCCTTTGTAAGTTTTTGGTACTAGTCCTGTTCAGAGGTCCGAAATCTATATCTATGAATTAAAAGGACCGAACGGTCAACTTTGTAATCAGTTGTTGGAATCCATAGGTTTTAAAATTATTTATTTAAAAAAATTAAACCCCTTTTTGTTGGAAGAGTCTGGTACGTCGAACTTTGTTATCAATGAAACAAAGAGATCACCCTTTTTGTTTAATAATATAGCAAAAGGGCGGATTGATGCATTGCTTACTAGACAAAAATATTTTGATGAAAAGGGTAATGGGTTTCATCCCATGAACCTATTTCAAAGAAGTTCACTGATATCCGCTTTTTATAAAGCAAATAGACTTTGTTTCTTTAATATTCGACCTAACTCTAACTTCTGGTTAGATTGTAAGAGAAGATTTCCATTTTCTATCGAAAGGGCTCGGAATACTAATTCGTATTTTCTCTATGAGCAATTTCTAAATAGATTGTTCCTTGGGAATCAAAAAGTTTCTTTAGGTGGTGGGAAAAAAGAAAGGTTTTTGGGGTTGGGGATAGAGCTACTATTTCACTAATTGATTCCTTATTTAAGGATTTTGTCAAAAACAGTGATCCACGGTATAACTTTGAGAATTCTTTTAATTCTGTAAGGCAATCCGATCCAGTCATGCCTAATTTGATTCTCAAGACTTTTGGAACCTCTTCTACAGAGGAAGAAATAGTCAATTTGGAAACAACTTATTGTCAACCGTTTTCAGATATAAATAGAAATATATATGATTCAGAAGAAAATCACTTTCATGAATATCCTAATTTTAATTTAAATATGGATTTGGTTGACATTCCCTGTTCTGATAAATATTTTTCATTTCAAAACAAAAAAAAATCGAAAAAAAGGCGCTGCGTTTCAGAAAAGACGGATGGCAACAACTTTTCATAGAGAGAATTTTTTTTCCATTCTATCAGAAAAATTAAATCTTTTCCAAATCAATTTGCCAAACTTCTTCACTTTGACAGGGTACAAATATCTCAATTCTCTATTGATAGATATAGTTTCAATATTAAATAGTAGGATATCTATTTATTGGGAAATTTTGGATTTATTATGGCAAATTGTTAAGATGAAATTGTTGCCCTTTTTTATAACAAGTGAAATCTCAAGTAAGTGGTTACATAATCGTCTTCTGGCGAGCGAAAGGTTGCAACGAAATACTAAAACATCAACATATTTTAGATCACCAAGTGGATCACCAAGTGGTTGGGCTTTTTTCGTTTCAATTCCTTTCCTTCTTATTGGTGTTAGTTATCTCGTTCTTATCAATCTTGTCTTTGTTTCTCGAGCTTTGAGAGAGTTAGATATCAAATTTAAAAAATTAAAACCTTTTCTAATTCCCTCATATCTAATTGAGTTTCAAAAACTTGTAGATAAATATCCTATGTGTCAATCAAATGAGTTTTGGTTAAATAATATATTTATATTTGGCTTTAACCAATTCGTACGTTTGTTAGAAGGAATCCAAGGTTTTGTTTTCGGTCTCAACAAGATTCATCTTACTTTGAAAGTGAAACCAAGACGTTTGACGAATAAATCTTTCAATATCCTTGAACATATAACTGGAATTGTTGTTTCTATAAATAGAAATATGCAATATATCAGTTCTATCAGTCCTAAAAGTAAAGAGCTCTATTCATTGATAAGAAAAAGAGAAAACGTGAAGGCAAATTGGATTGATGATCAAATAGAATCCTGGATCGTAAACAGCGATTCTATTCATGAGGAAGAAAGACAATTTTTGGTTCAGCTAGCCACTTTAACAACAGAAAAAAGAATTCCATCGAGTCTGACTGACAGGGATCATTTATTAAAGAATGACTTAGGTTATCCAATGATTGACCAACCGGGAGCAATTTATTTACGATACTTAATTGACATTCATCAAAAGGATCTAATGAACTATGAGTTTAATAGATCTTTTTTAGCAGAAAGACGCATATTCCTTGCTCATTCTCAGACAATGACTTACCCACAAACTTCGTATGCTCATTTAGCATGTCGTGGAAAGCCTTTTCGCTCCGCTTAGACTTATCCCCCTCTAGGGGTACTTTAGTTATCGGTTCTATAGGAACTGGACCATCTTATTTGGTCAAATACCTAGCAACAAACTCCTATATGCCTTTCATTACGGTATTTGTGAACAAGTTGCGAGATAAGAGTCGTAAATTTATGGCTGATTTCTTTATTGATAATAGTATCAATATTAATGCTAGTGACGATAATAACTAAGAGCGACAGTATTGATGACGATATGAATTGTGACCTTACTACGGAGCTGGAAATCCTAACTAGGATGAATGCGCTAACTATGGATAGGGAGATGAAGGCTGAAATAGATCGATTATCTATCACCCTTCAATTTGAATTAGCAAGAGCTATGTCTCCTTGCATAATCTGGATTCCAAATATTCATGATCTGGATGTGAATGAGTCAAATTCCTTATCTCTTGGTCTATTAGTTAACCATCTTTCAAAGGATTGTGCAAGAAGTTCTCCTAGAAATATTCTTGTTATTGCTTCTACTCATATTCCTCAAAAAGTGGATCCCGCTCTAATAGCTCCGAAAAGGTTGAATACGTGTATTAAATTACGAAGGCTTGTTAATCCACAAAAAAGAAAGTACTTTTTTTACTCTTTCATCTAATAGGGGATTTGACTTGGACAAGAAACTGTTCCGTACTAATGGATTCGGGTCCATAACCATGGGTCCCAATATAGGAGATATTCTAGCACTTACCAATGAGGTTCTATCAATAAGTATTACACAGAAAAAATCCATTATAGACAATAATACAATTAGAGCCGCTCTTCATAGACAAACTTGGGATTTGCAATCACAGTTAAATTTGGTTCAGGATCATGGGGATCCTTTTATATCAGATAGGAAGGGCTGTAGCACAAAATTTACTGCTAAGTAATTGTCCCGTAGATCCTATATCTATCTATCTGAAGAAGGAATTATGTAATGAGGCGGATTCCTATTTGTACAAATGGTACTTCGAACTTGGAAGAAACATGAAGAAATTTACAATACTTCTTTATCTTTTGAGTTGTTCTGCCGGATCGGTTGCTCAAGATCTTTGGTCTTTCCCCCGAGATGAAAAAAATGCGATCACTTCCTATGCACTCATTAAGAATGATTCTGATCTAGTTCATGGTTTATTAGAATTATTAAAGTAGAATGCTCTCCGTTGGGCTCAGAACAAAATTATGGATCTTATTCTATTCTTGATCAGAGATTTCTATATGAAAACTACGAAGAGGAGGATTTTTTCAGTCACATAGTTTGGGCTCCTAGACTATGGCGTCCTTGGGATTTTCTGTGTAGCGAGCAGATCCTTTATGGTCAAGAGAACGAGCTTCAAGAGAATGATTCGGAGTTCTTACAAAGTGGAACGATGGAGTACAAGACACGAGATAAATCTTCCAAAGACAAAGGCTTTTTTCAAATAAGCCAATTTATTTGGGACCCTGCAGATCCACTCTTTTTCCTATTCAAAGACCAGTCCACGGGCTCTTTGTTTTCACGTAGAGAATTTTTTGCAGATGAAGAAATGACAAAGGCGCTTCTTACTTCCCACACTTCTCAATGGGAGCATCTAATTCGATATAAAAAAACAAACGATTTTACTATAAGGAAGAAGGAACAAAAGCACTTCGAATTTGTGAGTCATCGTCAGAGATGGCTTAGAAATAATGGTTCATTTTATAATGAATCTTTCTGTTCTAGTACTCTATCCGAGAGTTATCACTATTTATCAAATATGTTCCTGTCTAATGGAACACTATTTGATCAAATGACAAAGACTTTGTTGAGAAAAAGATGGCTTTTCCCGGATGAAATGAAAATTGGATTCATGTAACAGGAGTTTAACAGGAGAAAGATCGCGATCCGCTGCCTAATTCCTGAATTACTTAAAGAGCTCGGGTCGATCAAATCGGTATTTCTATATAGATTTGATCGACCCGAGCTCTCTTCTTCTTGTTAAATTTCACATTCCAGGAGCAAGTATGCCTTGAAGAGGACTCGAACCTCCACGCTCTTTAGCACGAGATTTTGAGTCTCGCGTGTCTACCATTTCACCATCAAGGCATCTTCAAAGTGAATCGTATTGATCTCTATCTAGTGTAATGTATGGAATCGAATAGATGCCAAAGTTCTAGTATTCATAGTATTTTTTATTTTTTTATAGTATTTCTATTTCTATATATAGGTGCTATCATATAAGCCCGAGTTAGACATCTAATTGCTTTTATGTTTCATTATCCGAAGAATATTTTATCTATATCAAAAAATATCCAAAAAATGGACAATCAAACCAATTTCTCGATTCTTTACAAAACAAATAGAGATATTTAAAAGAAAGTCTCATTCCATTTATTTTTATTCCTAATCCTAAATGGAATGAAATAACGGAGGGATTAGGAATCTATATCAATACATTTATTTAGTTTAATTAGTTTATTTAGATACGTTTTTCAAATTCTAAGTTCAGAACCCTATTGGTCTATCCATATACTAGGTAGGAGTAAAAACGAAAACATTCCCGAGTTACAAATACAAATAGAATTATGAAATCCTTAGCACCATATCAAAACATTCTTACTAGAGCTTCTGTATATTCAATGTACTATACGGATAGATAAATGAATACAGTTCAATTTCGTTCAATTTGTTTGTTTGAAAATTTCTTGAAAAACTAAGAATTGGGTCATCTTTCCATCTGAACTATAGGCCATTATGC